AAGTCTTAGAGCTGAATCACTGCATTAGTCTAAGGACTTTTCAGTAAATTTAGAAGTTGCAAAGTCAGCAAAAAACCAAATGTTCCAGTCTAGGCACGTCAAGCATGCATGTTATCATGCTTGCACACATGGAACTGATACGTGCTTTTGTGCCTTAGTGTGCATGTGTTGAATGGCTGAACTGTGCATATGAATGCACTCACACTGTGCAGCCACATCACAATCCACCCCTGATCACGGTTGGAGGACATTTTTCAGGGTATTTCCCATCCCAGGCCACTTCTGAGACTGTTGTGGGCACACATGGGAGATGAGATTCCACATAACTGTCGTGGGTACTGGCTCTGCTGAGGCTGACGATTCCTCAGATGAAGAGGCAGGGAGCAATCCAGCCTCCTCTGGAGTCAGCCTAGAAGAGGAACCTTCAACAGCGCCTGAGGGAGAAGAGGCCCCAGCAGCTACACAGGAGGTGCAGCCAGAAGGAGAGACTGATCCAGAGTCTGGCCCAGCATCCCCAGTTGAAGACAGCCCAAGGCCAGAATCCCCACCTAGTTCTCCTGAGTGCCCCAGATGCAGGGCATGCCAGCGGCTGAATGTGCAAGAGCGAAGGAAGAGTGCCAGGCTGCAGCTCTTGCAAAAGCAACGGGAGGAGCTGTGAGTCTTGGCAGATTGATTCCCAGGGAAGGGAGGACTTGTTCATAAACACCCCACGCACCTTGCCTCAGTGCAGTAGCAACAGTGCAAGCTCAGATCCGCTCCTGGCTTGTAGCAACTGCTCCTTGCTCCTCGCCCCTGCAACCTGAATGTAATTTCCCGGCTCTCTGACCCTTGGCTCTGTTATTTGACTTGATTCCTGACTGCGTCTCCAGTTTCCAGTGTGTGGTCACCGTGGTAACCAGCTGAGCCAGTACAGCAGCACTTGGATGGTCCCCAAAGATGTGAGGAAGCATTTGAGAGAGATGGCACTCAGCATATGCTCAGAGACTCTTCCCCTTTGGTGTACTGGCTTGTAGGCTCCAAGTATCAGATGCCAGAAGTCAGGCAAGGCAGGGTCATTCAGTCAGAGGTCCAGAAGTCAGGCAAGGCAGAGCTGGTGGCTTAGCATCTATCATACTCCTTGCGTCCCCACCTAACAGCCTCTCTTGGCTGGTTTTATAGCCCCACACCTAAGAGTCATGCTTGTAGCCAACTACTTATCTTTGTTATCAGCAAGCAGCTGGTGTCGGGCTAGGAGGCATGCACTTTGCCGTCTTGTCTGTAGCTCTGTTCTCAGCCTCTGTCTGCGGCACTTTAAGGGTGTTGATGATACCGTGGGCTGGGAATAGCCAACTGAGATTCACCTGCTGAATCAGGGCTGAAGGGGGTGGCTCTGAACCAGCTGTTGGCTGTGAATTCTGACAAGCCTGCTGCAGCTCATTTTCCTGCTGGTCTGCTTCTGTTAACTCAAGGCTGGCTACTGAAGAGTCCTCACTATAGCTAAGCCCTGACTGACCCACAACATTTTTTTTTTGGAAAATGTTCTTTCCCTTTGAGGGAAGGACTCTCTGTGTGTGGTCAGAAGCACTCAGCTGAAAGTGCCAATGTTTTTGTAAGCAACAGATGTTAGCCGTGTAAGTATCGACACTCTTCCTCCATTTTTGTTCTTTCTGGAGCCTTCTATTTTGGAGAGTGAGAGCGAATCCTGTTCTTTGGAAATAGTGTTAATGAAGACAGAAAGGAATGCCTGGGGGGGTGGGGTTACTCCACTAATACCGCAAGCTCCTTTTGGGGTAAGGGACTATTGGTGTGCTTGGAAGGAATCTGCCTATAGCTGCAAGGATCTCTGTGAACTCACACACAGTGGAAGAGACCTTATGGTATTCTTTTTCTGCCAGCCCTAAGTTTACACACTCAGGTGAGTTAAAGGAGAGTCAGCTGCCTCTGACAGACGGAAACAGGGACACATTTGTGTGTACTTTTTAACAAAAGGTGTTATTGCGTGTATCTATGAGAAAGCATTTGAGACAGATGGCACTTTGGGGCTTTTTTCTTTACTGCACTTTTGCTTATGTATGCTTTTTTTAAACACCTGGATTCTCACACCCACGATCCCTGCCTGAGCCACAGACATATGCCCATTATACACACTGCAGGTTCACGAGATACTGGCTTTCTGGAACTCTGACCTCAGAGATTGAACCAACATCCTAGATGCCCCTTAGGGCAAAATGCGATTTGTCCCAGGACTGAGGGCCCTAAGAGGGAAAGTGGAGCATACCCAGGCAGCCGTCCTTGGATCCAGGTTCACTGAAAATCCACTCCCCAACACATGTTTTGTATTTAATTTTCACTGTAATTTGAATTCCTGGGACCCTCTTTGGAATCCAGCCTTTGGCTCAAAAGCAGGATACAAATACTGACGTCTGAGGTCACTTGTTAATCGCTTGGGGAGCCTGAATCCACTGGTGCTGCTGTAACCTCTGATGAGAGAGCATCTATGACACCCAAGTCCCTTTCAGCTCTATCCTTTAGCAGTGTCACGAAGAGGAGATTGGGTTCGTTGCCGTCACCATTTCCTTGTCTTTTTTCACGTTTTAAACCGACTTCACTGTTTGGGAAGCTGACTTTGTCTTCCTGTCTGACAAAGGGAGCTTTGATTCACAAGCACTCACGCCCTGAAGATCCGGCTGCTCTATAAGGTGCTGTCAGGCTCAGATCTAACCACAACTTTGCCTTTCTGTCACCATCAACCTCCCTCCCCAGGCAGACCACCAAGTTGTAAAATCAGTTTAAAACAAACAAATCCTCTCCAGTTGTTCCTCATCTGACCTGGGCAAAGCAGCACAGGAGCCGGGCATGTAAACATATGCTCTGAGCCTCTGTGGCTGCGTTGCCTTTGAAGAGAACTACTTTTTTTTAAAAAGAAACAAAAAAACCCCAGAACTACTTTGCTTGAATGCTGGAACAGGACTTTGGAAGCAGATGGAGGGAGTGAGCTGTTCCCAGCTGTAGTCCATGCAGACGCCTTTATCCTCTGAGCGAGGGGGGTGCGGCCTTTCTGGCAGGATGAGGGACTAATCCTACTTAGCGGTAACCACCGAGCTGAGCAGCAGCTCTGAGGACAGAATTAGAGCGTGTCTGTCTGTTGAGGCAAACGGAGCGGCAAAGGAGGCCATTTTAGCTAAGTCCGCCAGCCAGAAATGGATGCTGTGCGAGAGGGTCCCAGCACCAGAACTCTGCAGGATTGCCTCTCATTCTACATTGAAGCGCGGGAGGCGGGACTCTTTATATCGGACAATTACACAACCAGACCTGGCTCACACACCTGAGAGCATGGGATGGCAAAACGAGCTGTGCCACGTCAAGACGAGACCGCCGGTGGAGGATTATGGAGGATCCCGTTTCGGGATCCTGCCGTATCTTAGAACTTCCTTGTGCAGCAGGGAAGGTGAGGGGCTGAACCTCTCATCCCGCTGGGCTGCTCCATTGTCTGTTTGCACCGTTATTTTCCTGCAAAGGAGCATTTGAAGCAGGAATTCTTCCCCCCGCCCCCGCCAGTGTGATGTGGTTCACTCCATTCCACCCTCTCATTCTTCTGCATGTGTGAACCAGGCTGCAGTTCTGCATAAGAGGTGAATTGGGTGTAAATGACTGGCAGTCAGCACACTGGAAGAACGGCTTTCTCCCGGATGAGTCTTCCTTGTGTGACCTACATATTTCATTTATTTGTTTAAAACATTTTAATGCTCCCTTTCCACCCTATCAGGTCCCACATTGGAGTCCCGCCTCCCATCACATCTGCCTTCTAGAGTTGAGTACAGGTATGGTTGCCAACTCCAGGTTGGGGAATTCCTGGAGATTTTTTTTTGGGGGGGGTGAAGCCTAGGGAGGGTGCTGTTTCTGGAGGGGAGGGAGCGCAGCATATAACATGATGCCAACGAGGCCACCCGCCAAAGCAGCCATCCCCCCCCCATCTCTGTTGTCTGGAAATTAGTTGCAATTCTGTGAGATCTCCAGGCCCCTCCTGGAGGCTGGCAACCCTAGGTGCAGGGCCCACGCATTGCATCGCTGGTGAGGGAAGGGAACGGTACTTGACCGGAAGTTGTGGGGGTGGGAGCTTGGCTGAGAGCCCATTCATGTGATATTTTATGTCACTTCAGAAATAAAGTAGACTGTTTGCATTGACTCATGAAATCATATGTGTAGGAAGGGATGGGGCTTGCCAACCTCCAGGTGGAGCCCGGATGAGCTCCTGACGACAGAGTTCCGCTCCCCTCGAGGGCCTGGCAGCTTTGGATGGTGGGCTCGGCGGCATTATATCCTGCTGAGGTCCCTCCCAGGCACACAAACCCCCCCAACCCGAGTCTGCATGAACTTCTCAAGCTGGAGTTGGTTCCCCAAAAAGGAAAAGTGGTGTTACAGGGATATATGTGCCAGACCGAGAATTTACTGCCCTGATTAGGAAGATGGCAAATGGAGAGAGGGCTCTTTTGGTGGGGCTCCCCTTTTTATAAATGCCCTCAAAGAGAATGGCTGTCCTTTCAGTACCAAGTAAAGACCTTTTTGTCCCGTGGCTTTTAACGGGGGATTAGTGTATGCGCATAAAGGAAGCATTAAAATGTTTTGTTTTTGAACTGTTTTTTTCTTTACTGTGTGTATATGCATAATATTTTTAATTGTCATGTTGTAATTGTGATTGTTACAAATTGATTTTGGGGTCTTCTGCTTTATTTATATGCCACTGGAAACTTTTTAAACAGTGGGCAGTCTGCCCACAAATTATCTAAATAACAGTTGCACATCCTTGGTCTCTGTTTGCATCCTGTGGCTCTTGCTTCTGTGTTCCGTTTTTGTTTTTTAAAGCAATGGTCCCTGTGAAATCCAGTTGTGCAGGGACAACATCTGGTACAGTCCTAGAAACCAGAGTCGTATTTTGGGTGGTCTTTGGTGCTATACATCACGCGCATACTTCACCTCCATTTCCTCCACTGCCAGCTGATCCCAGATGTTTTCCATTTCAGATGACATCACTCGCTCCTTCAGTGGCGTGCCCAGCGGTGCCATCTCCGAAGATGCCTTATTCAGGGACAAGTTGAAACACATGGGAAAGTGTGAGTTGCTTTGCGGCAAATGGCAGAATGGAATTTTGGGCTGTGACTTCTTTTTTTGCCAAGTTTGATGGTTGTTCGGTATGGCTGCATTTGCTGGCATGGACACAAAGCACCAGGCTGCTGCATTCCTTTGGTGTTGGTGTCAGCAGTATTGAAACCTTTGGGAATACCGGCTTCTTGGGTGGGGGACGGGGGACATTCACTATGTGGACAGCAAAATGAAGCAGGACTCCAGTAGCACCTGAAAAGGCTGGCCATGGGCATTCCAGCAGATTTGGATGTGTATACGATTAGGAAGGGAGCTCTGACTCACAAAAGCCATCCTGGAATGACAATTTGCTAGTCCTTAAAATAGTCTTGGCAAAAGGTAGCCTAAAGGTAAAGGTTTCCTTGCTCGAAAGCCAGTCGAATCCAACTCTAGGGTTGCGGTGCTCATCTCCGTTTCAGAGCTGAAGAGCCAGCAGTGCTGTTATGACTGTTCATCATGAGAGTATCCACCAGAAATGCTGCCCCCCAGTGGCTCTCCTCACACACACGCACACACACACCGCTTCATCAGTAGCCAAGATGGCCCTGACAGGGACTCTTCCATCGCTGTCGTGGGCATGTATGGTTTGTATGGCACTACCTTCTCCTGGCATCTCAGGCTGAAATGCGAAGGAGGGTTGCCTGAGGCAGGGGTGGGGAACCTAAGCAGGAATTGTTTCCATGATTCCCCCCCCCCCAAGCTTGCCTCAAGGAGATAGTTCCAGGTCACTGCTCCCCAAGGGCTAAATGAGACAAGACGATTTCTCCCAGGTTGGGTCTGGGCTCCCTGCCCCTGCTTTCAGAGTCTCACACTGCTAGGAACTGGTTTCCCAGCCTCATGAGTCCCTGATTTGGATTAGGAATGGCACATCTGGGGAGAGGGAAGGGGCTTCAGCCTTTGCCCCCCATGGCATTTTCCTCACCTGAAATTTGCCCCATGGGGAGGGGCTGCACATGCACTGATGTCCTACATGTGCCCCTCAGCAGGAAAAATAATGCCCTCAAGGCCATTTTGGATAAAGAAAATGGGGGAGGAAGGTGAAGCTTCTTCCTCCTTGCGGTGGTCCCCATCTGAATCGGGGGCCCGGGCACTTGGGAAACCAATTCTTGGCAGCATGATATGTGACTGGATGTCGGGTCAGGGAAGCCAGGCCCAGCTTGTGAAAAACGGACAGGTCTTGATTTGTCTACAAGTGCGGTCGGCACACGGCACAGAATCCGGACTGGCTCCAGGTTTTGGTGGGGCCCTGGGCAAGATGGGTTCAGTGGGTTCCCATGTATGCGCACACATGTGCAGGCACACACCTTCCTGGAGGAGGGAGCAGAGCGCGGCATTTTAGCAATCCTGTCCACCAGAGGGCTGTCAGACTCCCAGTCAAATTACTCTCAACAACACTCTCTTCGGCAGTGATACGTTTATTGAGATGTATGCATGCTCCAGAACATCACTTGTGTTAGAACTGAAGATTTTTGGCAGGAATATGCTTAATATAGGTAGTTCAGACAGATCCCCCTTCCCTTCCCCCATGTACACATCACAAGCAGCCGCCTAGTGTTGCCATCCCAACCAAAAGGAAAATATATGGTTTGGTTATCTACTGTGAAAACTGGTACCAGAAGCTTCAAGGACACCTTTCTCTGGGAAATGGAAAGGAGGCACATCTTGAAGGAAAAGTTGTGGCACCTAAAAGTAAAGGTTCCCACTTTCTCAACACACGCACCCCCTCCCCTCCCCTCCCCGTAGGAATTCCCTCCCCCCAGTAGCTATGACAGCCCAAGCAAGCCAAGTGAAGTGAGTTTTGACAGGGGCAAAAGGAGCAATAATAGGAGTCTGCTCCCTCCTCCAGGCATCACTCCCAGCACCATATGGAGAGATCATGGAATCTATGCCGCTGATCTCCAGACTACAGAGATGAAATTCCCCTGGAGAAAATAGTGGTTGTGGAGGCCGCTTCCTGTGACATCATAGTCCTCCAAAGTCCCTCCCCAGGCTCCACCCCCCAGATCTCCAGGTGTTTCCCACCCAGGAGTTGGCAGCCCTAGCAGATGATCTCCCATTCTTTGGGGCCGCCCAACAATCCCTACAGCACAATGGAGGCGTGGTGTCACCTGACGCCTTTGTCACCTGCCCCCTGCTGCCCCCCTGGGGCAGTTGATGCAACACCGCCTCCCCGCCGCAGCTTGGACAATCTCGCGGCGCCCAGCTCCCACCCACACCGCAGCCCTCCCTCGCCCTCCCCGCCACTTCCCCCGGGCACACTGAGCCAGCCAGTTGGCTCCTCTGTCGCTGCCGCCGCAGCCCTCCCTCCCACGCCCTCCCACTGCCCGGCCTCTCCCCCCTCCCTCCTGTTCCCGCCTCCCTTTCATGTTCCCGCCGTCTAGTCAGAACAAACAAGCCCCTTCCTCCTCGTCCTCCCCCCTCCGGCAGCCCCCCCACGAAGCCCCCATCTCCACCACCCCCGCGAAGCCCCA